CAGATTTAGACAGGATCCCATGCAGGTTCATTAAGGGACGTTGAGGCCAAAAGCCAAATGGCCAAAAGTCAAAAGGTCAAAAGCCAAAAGTCAAAAGCCAAAAGCCAAATGGCCAAAACAGAACATTTTACACATGACTCCAATACATGGCGAGACAGACATCCTGAGAAGATTAAGGAACGTTGAGGCCAAAACGCAAATGGCCAAAAGCCAAAAGCCAAATGGCCAAAGTAGAACATGATGAGGCCAGAACACAAATGGCCAAACCACTCCAATTCACCTCCAAAAAGGGGACAGAAACCCCCCAAGGTATTGTATTTTCTTTCTTTTCCTTATTTTATTTATTTCAATTATTTCTTTTTTTTTAATTAATTCCTTTAATTTAACTTATTTTCATAAAATATAAAAAAATAGTAAAAAAACAGAAAAGTCATAAAAATCAAAATATATTTATTTAATTAATATTTTTTTGTAAATAAATTTCACTAATAATTAATTATTTATTTTTATAAATCACAATTGCATGTAAATAATTAGATTAATTTTAGGTTTAATTTTAACATGTTTTTCTTAATAAATAAAAAAAATTAGAATTAGGGTTAATATTTTAATTTCATTTAATCTTTCTCATAAAAATACATAAAAAACATAAATACCAAAAACTCAAAAAAAAAAAAAATTCTTTTTTCTCTTTAATTTCATTAGTTTAATCATTTAATTTAATTTTATTAAAAAGGGTCCAACGCCCTCGTTTCCAGCTTTAATTCAATTCGCACATTTATCTCGTTTCTTTTAATTATTTATGTACCTCTCCCAAAGCCGTGTAAATTTAATCTTTCGCACTTTACTTTATTTCTTTATTTTATGTCAAATCGGGTCCTGGATTTTAATTTGGCGATGTGGACCCGCGCCTTTGTAATAGTTTAGGAATTATATCTTTCCGCACTTTTTAACTGTTAAATAAATGCATGCAAGAATGAATGACAAAAATAAAAACAAACGCATAGATCACTTTGGCATGAACAAGACAAAAATAAACGAATCTGACACACAAATCACACACCACCCCTAGGGTACGCCTCACTGTTGCCTTGCCTCGAAAGGTGATCGTCGAGTAGAGGATGTCTTAGTAAGTCCTCATGATCCGGGAACCTGGCATGAGGGTAGCTTCTAAGGTGTCTTCCCATTGCTCTGGTGATCACCATGTCCCGAACCTCGAATTGACCCGAACACCTCCAACGGTGGTGCTACCTACCTCTCAATGGTGGGATGGCACTACTTGAAAGGACATCTACACAGACGAATTCCTTAGGGTAGGTAGACGACTCTAGATACTTGCTCTAATTTCAAAAAACAAATTCAAAAATACTTTTCACACCGTCACCTTTTCAAAAAAGCTTTCGAAAGCAATTTTTCAAACACTCTTGAGGACCGATACAAGAGTCGAACTGAGATTTTCAAAGAAACTTTTTAAAAACCCACATTGAAAAGCAAACAAACCATTTTGAAAATGCAATGAGCAAGTATCTAAGAGTCCATGGATAACCATGGATAGAAAGGGTGCTAACACCTTCCCTTTCTATAATCTACCTCTCGAACCGAGAGCAATCTCTATAAGGAATTTTTCTGTGCTTTTGTCCTTTCCATTTGGAGAAAATAAAAGACGGTGGCGACTCTTGCTTCCGCGACATTTCGCGAACCAGCGTTAAACAGTCAGTTCCAGATCCACCGATCACAGATACCTTTATAGAATTCCTGATAGACTCTCTTCTAATTGAGATCTAGAAAAGTTAGAAAATACCTCTTCTGCCTCTGAGTCTGATTCTGGTCCAGATGATTCAGTATCTTTTGATATGTTGGCCATAAGGGCAATATTGGCTCTTTCATCTTCTAATTTTGTGTCTGCTTCAGAAGAGTCTGATTCATCCCATGTTGCCATGAGACTTTTCTTCTTCTCATTAAATAACTTCTTTTTAAGTTTCTTCTTTTGAAGCTTTGGACAAACGCTTTTGTAGTTCCCTTGTTCATTGCATTCGTAGCAGATAATGTCTCTGTTTCTTGACTTTCTGTATTCAAAAGATGGTTCAGACTTTCTGTATCTAGACGATGATTTAGACTGATTCTTTTTTCTTCTGGAATTTCTAAACTTCCTTTTCCCGTGCTTTCACAGTTGATTGACTCTTCTGGAGAGAAGGAATAATTCGTCTTCTTCTGATGAGGATCCACCAGAGTTTTCTTCTATTGCCTGTAAAACTTTAGAATCATATTTTTTGTTAGATTTAAGGGCTAAAGGCTTACCTTGGTTCTGGGGCTCATCATCTTCTAACTCTGTCTCATGACTTCTGAGAGAGTTGACAAGTTCTTCTAGAAATATTTTGTTCAGATCTTTTTCCAGTTTGAGAGCAGTGACCATGGGTCTCTATTTCTTTGGTAAACTTCTGATGATCTTCTTTACATGATGAGTAGTTGAGTACCCTCTGTCCAAAACTTTTAGTCCAGCAACCAGAATTTGAAATCATGAGAACATTGTTTCAATAGTTTCATCTTCTTCCATTTTGAAGGCTTCATACTTCTGAGTGAGCGCAAGGGCTTTGGTTTCTTTGACTTGTGTGTTGCCTTCATGCGTCATTCTCAAGGAATCAAACTTGTGCTTTGTCGTCTCTCTGTTTGTGATCTTCTCATACTCTGAGTATGAGATGACACACAAGAGAATAGTTATGGCCTTATGATGATTTCTGAAGTCTCGCTTTTGATGATCTAACATTCTTTTTCTGTCAATCTTTTGACCGTTTTCATCAACAGGATGTATGTACCCATCAATCACCATATCCCAGAGATCAGCGTCATGAGCCAGAAAGAAACTTTCAATTCTGTCTTTCCAGTAATCAAAGTTCTCTCCATCAAAGATTGGAGGTTTGCCGCTGATTCTGTCTTTCTCATCATGGTAGTCATTGTTGATGTTCTGACTTGGCCCCATCATAGTGTTTTTCTTAGCTTGGATCTTTTACTGACACGGTTAAGTACTTGAACTCAGAACCAGGCACTCTGATGCCAATTGAAGAATGGAAAAACACAAGAAAGGGGGTCTGAATTGAGATTTTTAAAACTTAAAGTAAAGAACAAGTTGGTTATCCTGGTTCATTTGAACTCAAACTACTCCAGTCCACCCGCCAAGGTGACTTCACCTCTCTCAACGAGGTCTTAATCCACTAATCAATCTTGAATACAAATCTACTTTGACAACTATCAAAGTCTTCTTGAGTATAAACCACAACCCGGTTTTTCTCAAGGAATTTCTCTAAACAATGTATGAATAAAAGTGTACAATAGTGTTTCTAATAAAACATTATCATAATACAAGCGATGTTTTACACAGTTTGAATGTTGAATGTTTGATGATGAAAAATGATAGCAGCGTTATTGTGCATGATAAATCGTAAACGATTTATCCTCAAAGCTTTGTTTAAATAGGCGAAGCATGAAGGAGCATTTGGAAAGTTGATCAATGACAATTAAGGTCATTTCCAAAAATAAAGATCCTTGTTCCCTTCCAGCCGTTACTCTTGAAATGGAAATATCTGATTTGTAACGCTTCAAAACATGCTTTCTTCAGAAGATGGAAGTGACAGTTGTTGCTTTCTTCAGAATATTGTAGATCAGAACCACGGAGTGCTGTTTGCAGCGTTATAATTTCTTTCAAAGATGTTAATAAACCAGAGTTGAAACAACTTTGTAACTCATCTTCCATCAGAGCTTCTTTCAGAGATGTTAATAATCAGAGTTGAAACAGCGTTATAACACATCTTCTGATCTTCTTCCATCAGAACTTCTCTGCAAAACAAAATATAAATTTAGGGAGCATAATTGTTCTTTGCGTTTGTTATCATCAAAACTCTTACAAAGGTTGTAGAATCAAACTATGTTCTAACATTATCTTCTCGAATATGTCACAATCCACACACTGGTGAATCAAGAACAGTGTCTTGCCATCTTTCTTCCTCTGATCTTTATGCACAGTTTTCTGGACTTCCGTAGCATCTACTTCCAGTTCTGATATTCCATCATTCAAGATTTCTACGACATCTTGAAATCTGAAAATAACCTTCATTTGCGCAACCCACCGTTGATAGTTTTCACCTTTGAAAACCGGTAGATTCACTGGAAACTGTGTTGAGGTTGTTGATCTGTTTGCCATTAGATTCTCTCTGAATCACAAACAAGCTCTTGATACCAGTTTGTTGGAACAAAGGATTCAAGAAAGATGATTTTGAGAAAACAAGAAGAAGAAGAAGAAGAAGAAGAAGAAAGAGAGAGATTATGAGTTAGTTATGTGTAACTAACTTTCTAACTGAATGTATTATTATTTTATGTATTCTTCAAACATAATGGACCTTTATATAGGAAGAATTAACCAACTAACAACTATAACTGCGTTTTAGATGCGTTCGAAATTTAACTTCTGAATTTTATGAATATTATTAGTTTTTTACTAGGGTGAATGAACACCAATAAGAGTGGGAAGAATAATGTTCTTTGTTGTAAGAGTTAAGTACCCTTTTACTCTTCTTTTATTCATTAAGAAATAACAATTAACAATAAAAAAATTCTATAGAATTGACATGTAAATTGCATTAGTTCAAATAAACCGCGGGCGTAATCTTATAAAAGGCCCACTCAATGCATTAGTATAACGATTTTCAAATATTCTGGTTACCACAAATTTAAACGGAAAGAATAAACCCTAATTCTAAGAAGGAATAAACCCTAAAATTCATTCTCAGAATAGAAAGCTACTCACAATCAGCTTCTTCTCCAGAATTTGTCATTATACAGTCTACCTATTGTTTCCTTCTGTGTCAGTTCTAACGTAGGAGTTCAAGCTTCTTTTGTAGGTTATACTTTGGAATATGAAATTTTACTTCCTTATTGAAATATAATTATGTTTGTAATGTATACGCTGTATCAAATTCTAAAGTTTGTTGATTATGTTTGCAGAATCAATGAAGAAGGTTGAAAAACTCAATAAGAGTGAGTTAACTGAGTTACCCGAGTTACCTGATTGTGTTATATCGCATATATTTTCCATGCTAAGTTTAAAGACTTTGTTGAAAACTAGTGCATTATCAAAACAATGGTTTCACGAATGGGGATTAAGGAAGATGAAGGACCTCAATTTCGATCTCCATAACATGTTTGACTATAACACAATGCCAGAGTTACCGAAAAACCTTCCACTCTTTCAAGAGGTTCAATCTCAATTTGCCACGAGATTGAATGATTTCATGCTGAAATATCACAGCGACATGATCCGTTCAATCCGAGTAAATTTTCCGTTAGGTCGTGATCATACCAATGTCATTGATAGATTGATTTACAAAGGAATTCTTAACGGCGTCAATCGTATTGAACTGCTCTTCGCTTGTGAAACTGATGATGATACTGAAATTGAAATTGATATATTGAAGCCATACATATTTTTGTTTCTTTTCTTATCTGACTCTGATTCTCTGACATATCTACACCTACAGAACTGTCACATATCAGTACCTATGAAATTTTCTGGATTGAAGAATTTGAGAACTCTTGTGTTGCATCTAGTTCCTTTGAAGCAAAATATGCTTCAGGATCTGTTACTTAACTGCATGCATCTTGAAAATTTAACTCTTGACGAATGTACCTTGAACTCTGACTTAAAAATAATCAGTCCAACATTGCTTCATTTGAGCATAATTGATTGTTGTCATAAGAATTGCTATTCTTATAAGATAATGATAAATATTGATGCTTTGAATCTCTCATCCTTTGAATATAGAGGTTACAAGAGCAAAACCTCTATCGAGGCTCCCAAGTTATTGAATGTTTTTTGGGATGCAGGTGTGAGAAAGTATAGTGTATATAACTTTTCTAGGATTGCAAGATTACATCATGTTGAGAATTTGGCTATGACAATTCATCATTCACAGGTTTGAGTCACCCTTATGCTTATATGTTAGTCATTCTTAGGTATCCTTTAATTAATTGACTCAATAGTTTCTTGTGTAAACAGATAGCCAAGCTAATGAAGCATTTGGTTCAATTTCAAAATCTTAGACAATTGGAATTATTTATCGCGGGAACGGATGATCCTAATATAGACTACTTTTGGATCTTAGATATTGTAATGGCTTCTCAGCATCTCCAAAATCTTTCTCTAAGGGTAAGTTATTCATTTTCTTAGTATGTTTCATTTTACTATTTTTATGAAAATATTGTTATGTTTCAATTTTCAGATTAAAAATGAACATGCGGACAAATCACACATGATTGGATTTGATAGGCAAAGAAGAGAATATGTTGGGTTTTATCACAATAATTTAAAGTATGTGAAGTTATATGGTTGTGTTTGCTCCTCAAATATAATTGAGTTAGCTAGTCAACTATTGAGGAGTGTGAATTCGCTTAAGCAAATTACTTTTAGTTCTCGTCACGATTCCTATATAGGTGCTGAAAGATGGACTGAGGGCTTCGATCGTTGTTGTTGGTTTGATCAGAATCTTATTCATGAGTTGCTTAAAGATGAAGTAAATGAACAATGTCAACTCATTATTTTATAGTGTTGTGTTATCTACGATGAATTATCTAATTATTTACATTAATGATATGAATTAAAATGTTTGTTTTTTTATATATGAAGGATTCATTGTAGTGTTAGATATTTAACTCAGGTTAGTCTATATTTTCTTTTATATTTGGAAAATCTAATTCAATCCACACTTCAAGACTATTTTCAGAATTCTACTGTGTTCATCTTTTGAGTTCATTTGCTAAATTTCATTTTTAGGGATTTGCTAAACTAAAATAAAGACAAAACAATATAATCTGTTTCATATTCTTTATTATTTTTTTTAAGCAAGATATATTAAAGGAAGAATTAAGAGTTGTCAAATCTATTTACAAAAGTTCGAGAAAGTTTTTTGAAAAGCAAAGAAATTACAAATCAAATATATTTACGAAAGATAAAACAAAGGAGATTTGCTAAACTTGTAAAAATTATATTTGGAGTGTGTAATCTCTCCAATAAAAGACTATTTCCAAACTATAATCTTAATACTCCAAACAACATCGAGCACATTCTAAAAACCCTCGTTCCGAAAAATAATCTCATTCCTTAAAATTCAAAGATTCTAACAAATTGCTAACCAAATGCAACCTTCTTCACCACCCCTCACCTTCTTGGACTTGTAAAACGAATACCAACACAAATATCTACGTTTAAAACAATCTCCCGAAAGCGTCGATAAACCAATCCACTCTGCTAAATCCTTCGACACTAATAAAGCAACGTGACGGTGCAATAAGGAATGCTCCAAAGATTCGCCAACCGCATTACACATGACAATTAAGAGAATCCAACAGAAAGTTAATACATCTAAATTTTAGAAGGTCTGTTGTCGGAAGTCTATTGATAAAACAACGCCAACCAAACGCTTTAATCTTGAAAGACACGTCATTCTTCCAAAATAAACTCAAAGCCCTGTCAAAAATATTAAAAGCACCAAAAGGAATACACCTACCGGCCAACAGATCATAACAAGAACAACCAGAAAAATATTGGTCTGGTTTTATCGCCCACACAACCCGATCAACCCCAGTTGAGAATCTGTCAGTATCTTTCAAATTTGTCCGCAACTGCTGCAGAGTGACAACAAAACAGAATTATCGAAAATAGAATGGGGAATGCCAAAGTCAACCCACCACCACACCCCTATCAAACCAACCCTCATGCCCACAATGGCCACCGACTTCAGACATGAAGCAATGAACAGATTCGGATAAGTGTCTTTCAAACTAGATTCCTCCCTCCAATTTGCATACCAAAAAAACGTAGAAAATCCACTAACAATTTCGAACCTGCAATTATCAATAAAAACATCTTCTTCCAATTTCTTATGAGAGAAATCATGTTCGACAACCCCGAGGATTTCGAACCATGATCATTCTTGAAACAATCTCCTATGACCATCTGAAGTCTAATAACCTCGTATCTCGTCTTCAATAAGGAAAATCACAACAAATTTGAACCTTCTAAAATTCTCCATCTCCACTTGTGAAGAAGAGTCGAGTTAAAAAGCTCAGTCCTCTTTAAACCGAGACCGCCTTTATGAATGAGCATACAAACGTCCTTCCACCTAACTCAATGAATCCTTCTACGTCCCTCGGTTCCGCCCCACAAGAAATTACTTTGGAGTTTGGAAATATATTTAGCAATTTTCACGGTATTTTGTAAAAAGAAAGAGTGAAAATCGAAAGAGAATACAACACGGATTTAAGAAGAGTGATTTTTCCTCCGAAACTTAGAAAACGCCCTTTCTAAGCGGAGAGACCATTCTTTATTTTAGTTAAGAGAAACTTCCAAGTAAAAATCCTTCTAATATTGGAGCCTATTGGAATATCGAGAAACGTATAAAGAATACTGTTATATTAATCATTATTCACAAGGTGTATTGGTACAATATATAGAAACAAGTTTGTTGTCATAATAATTGCTTCCTACTGCTATTGCTTGATTTCCTCTAATTAGTTATAATTTGATTTGATTGCTTGATCCTACAATAACTCTCATCTTGAATGCTTGATCCTAGAGTATCTCTTGATTTAAATGTTTTTGACTTTGTAACCTTAACACGCCCCCGCAAGATATGGGTACCGTCAGATACTCCTATCTTGAATCGAAGATCTTGATGACGCTGCCTAGATAAGGGTTTGGTAAGGCAATCTGCGAGTTGATCTTTAGTTGAAACATGCTGAACTCGAATCTTGTTATTACGAACATGATCTCTGACAAAAGGAATATCTATGGCAATGTGTTTCATGTGACTATGGAAGACGGGATTGACGGTGAGATAAGTGGCACCGAGATTGTCGCAGTAGATGGTAGGAATAGTTGGTATACTGACATGTAGTTCAGAGAGAAGTGATGACAACCAAAGAACTTCTGCGGATGCAGATGCCAGAGCTCTGTATTCGGCTTCGGTGGATGATCTTGCAACAACTTTTTGTTTAAAAGACTTCCAAGAAATGGGGTTACCACCATAAAAAGTAACATATGCAGAGGTGGATGTATAGTCATCCCGATTTCCAGCCCAATCGGCATCACTAAATGCATAGAGATTTTGGGAAGATGAACGTTTTAAGTGCAGTCCATGAAAAATGGTGGCTTTGAGATACCGAAGAAGTCTTTTCAAGGCTGTGAAGTGTGTGGATGATGGATGTTGCATGAACTGTGCAAGCTTATTTACGGTGTAGGCTATGTCAGGCCTTGTCATGGACAGATATTGTAGAGCCCCTATGATGCTTCTGTATTCCGTAAGATTTGCTGCACTTGCGCCATCATATTTGGTAAGAGGAGAAGATGTGGACATCGGTGAATGGACCATCTTTGCATCTTTCATCTTTGTGCGATCAAGCAGATCATGAATATGTTTGTGTTGACTCAAAAATAATCCTTGAGTGGTGGGAATGACTTCAACACCAAGAAAAAAATGAATGGATCCTAAGTCTTTGATGGAAAACTTAGTGGCTAGTGTTGAAATACACTTAGAAATTACTTCATTGTTATTACCTGTAATTAAAATATCATCAACATATACCAAGGTGTAGACTTTGACATCTCCTTTTAGATAAATGAATAATGATGGATCAGATTTGGAGTTGACAAACCCATAAGACAGTAAGAAAGAATGCAAGGTGTTGAACCAAGCCCGAGGGGCCTGTTTTAGGCCATACAAGGACTTCTTTAGCCGACAGATATGGTCAGGGTAATCTGGATGATGAAATCCCGGTGGTTGTTGCATGCATACGGTTTCTAGAAGCTTACCATGTAAGAATGCATTGTTTACATCCAACTGTCGAATGTGCCAACGTTGTTGAATGGCCAATGTGAGAACCAACCGGACTGTTGAAGGTTTAACCACAGGGATGAATGTTTGATCATAATCTAGTCCAGGGCGTTGATGAAATCCTTTCACGACTAGGCGTGCCTTGTATCTGTCAATGGAACCGTCTGGGCGGCGTTTTACTCGAAACACCCACTTACATCCAAGGAGGTTAGATGTTGTGTTTTTGGGAACTAAATCCCAAGTTCCTTGTTGCATCAATGCGTTGAATTCGGATGCCATGGCAGCACGCCATTCAGAGGAAGCCATTGCTTGTGATACACACGTGGGTTCATGCGATGCTGGTAAAGGATGTTTTGTGACAAGTAAATATTTTTTGTTTGGCTTGTTTATGTTATGCATGGACCGTGTGATGGGTCTCAAAGGTTCAGAGGATGACATTTATGTGCGTTCCAATGGTAGTGTGGTTTATGGTGTTGATGTAGGAGTGGGTAAAGGTGATGGTTGGATGTTATTTGAGTTTGAAGGTGTAGGTTCAGTTGATTGAGGTGTAGTAGAAATGGCATGGTTAATATTGGAGCTGGTTTGAGGGGATGAGTGAGAGTCATGTGGGGCTGTAACGGGAGGGATTTGTAGTATGGAATTAGGAATTATGCTTTTGGATGTGTTAGGTTGATGTGGGTGAGACAAGAAATTGGGAAGTGGGAGCCATGAATGTTGCGGCAGTAATGGAGGTGAGAGTTGTGGGTTTGGGTGTGAGAAGGGAAATTGGTCTTCAACAAAAACAACATGGCGGGATAGATGCACCCTTCGAGTGGCTCGATCTAGACAAATGTAAGAGTGATATTGTGTAGAATAACCAAGGAAGACACATGGTGTACTACGTGGAGATAATTTGTTTGGAGCATATGGACGTAGCCAAGGATAACATAGACATCCAAAAACTTTGAAATTTTTATAGGACGGAAGTTTGTTGTGAAGACATTCAAACAGTGATTTATCACAAAGTAAAGGAGTGGGCATTCTGTTAATGAGATATATAGAGGCTTGAAATGCATAACACCAATATTTTAATGGAATGGAAGCATGACTTAATAGTGTGAGGGTTGTTTCAACAATGTGTCGATGTTTATGCTCGGCTAGTCCAATGTGCTCTGGGGTGTATGGTGGAGAGATGAAATGGGATATACCATGTGTGGAAAAGTGGGATTTTAATTTTATATATTATGTCCCTCCATCGGTGTAAATGGATTTAATTTTGAAGGAAAAATAGTTTTCAATAGTTCTTTGGAATTGAGGAAAGATTGTGACAACTTCAGTTTTTTATTTTAATGGATATAACCACGATATCGAGTGAAGTGATCAACAAAGATAAGATAATAGCGATAATCATTAGCAGAGGTTATTGGAGAGGGACCCCAAACATCAGAAAAAATTAATTCAAGTGGAGTAGAGGTTTTTATTGATGACTCATGAAATGGTAATTTGTGACTTTTATTCAAGAAGCATGAGTTACATGTAGAACTTGAAATATGAGAACTGGAAGGTAGAAATGTCTTGAGAGCTTAATGAAGTGTCTTGGGTGAGGGGTGGCCTAGTCGAGCATGCCAAAGGGTGTTAGTGGACCGTGATGCGTGAAGGTTGGTTGGTGGAGTGGGGAGTGAGGGTTGGAGGGTGTAGAGATCACCACTAGTTGGACCGCACATTAACGTCGCCCC